TAGATCAATTTAATTGTCTTTTAATTTGTAAAATTTTTAGTATGTGACTGTAAAAGATAAGGAAATTTTAAAAATACTTAAAAACTCTTATAATAATAAGAGTTGCTATTTAATAAACACAAGAATTCCTTAATGTTATCAACTATTTAGTCAATAATCAGATTCTAATTGTCTCATTAATATCATTACAATTTAAGGTTGGTACCAAAAAAGATCCAGATATGATGATTAGTTAATGTTTCCTATAAATTCTCTTAATTTATAGGTTACCCATATCATCTATTTTTTTCTTTCTGCAATATTATATTGAAGAAATTAGATTATTTATCTTGTCTGCTTTTTGCTGATTGTATCTTCGTGGTATCATTTGTCACATTCCTTTATCATCTAGAGTTCCTGTATGCTGGTAATTTGATTTAAAAGCTTTATCAGATCAAGATTTTCTTGTAGGTTGTGGTGAGTTTTTCCATCAGAAAGCATATTTCTGGTTGAATTTCCCTTTTGTTATCATTGCTTAGATCCATAGATTTATCACTAGTGATAAAATAGGGATTTTTCTAATTCTATCATCATTTCTTGGTATAGACTGAATATTTATATCCCCTCTGCCAAATTTTTATGCTGAAATCCTAGCTCCATAGGATGGGACTAGGAGGTAGGGTTGTTGGGAGTAGGGTTATATTAGGCCATGAAGATGGAACCCTAATGAATGGAACCAGTTTCCTTTTAAAAGTCCCTAGAGAGTTTGCTTCTTCCTTTGCTCTATGTAAGGAACAGAGAGAAGGCATCATCTGTGAATGAGAGAGCAGGCCTCTCCAGACTCTGAATCTCCTAGTGCCTTGATCGTGGACTTGCCAGCCTCTAGAACTGTGAGAGGTTAGTTTCTATCTTTTATGAACTACTCAAGTCTATGGCATTCTGTTATAGCTGTCCAAACAGACTGAGATGCTTCCTGTTTCAGTAGATTGAGATTTTCAGCAAGATAATATGTTTTAAAATTCCAAGGTAAATCACAGGCTGTCCCCAGGACAATTACCACCCTTTGCTATACAGCACAAGTACCTTATATGTCTTTCCCATTTCATCACACAGAAATATTAACAAGCTATGTATTCTTGGGGTGAGATAAAATTATCATTTCCTGCTTCATCAAGATTACTAAGTGATATTAGCATTTTAAAAATCATGTGTGACCGCTTCGCAAATTGTTTCCACTAACAGGATTTCTACTGAGGCTTCAGTTTTCCCGTGTTGGTTTTTGCAACATCAATGCCGATGTCATGATATTGAAGTGGCTAAATGGTGGTATTATTATGATCATGGTTTTGATCTTATGGTTTTCCTGAAATGTCATGGGACCTTGGAAATCCCTGGACCACACTTTGGAAATGATTTCACTAGACTCAAGGACCCCATTACCAGGAAAATATTCTTCCATTGTCCTGGCTCTGCCTATACTATCTGAGGCAGAGCTCAGCTGAAAAGTGAACTTCTTGGGGCACCTTCCAGGACAACCCAAAGCAAGACCACAATCTTGTCAATATCAAATCATCAAACTTCAATTCTCTGCACGTGTTTATCACATTTGTATAATCTTCTTGATTATTTAGACCTTTTCATCAGGTTAGCTTCTTCTTCCTCCCTCTATGATACAAACTATTTGAGAAGTGAGCTTTTTTTTTTTTCTTTCTGACCTGTTCTTATTTTTACAGCTAGAATAATTCCTGGCACCTAATAAGCATTTAAAAGCATTTGATGAGGGGATAAACAGAAACATTTGTATTTACATAGAACATTTATAGAAGCCTACGCTAGAAGTAAGGATCACTCATGGAAAATGAGACTAGGTATGATAGGAATCTAGTGGCGTGGCAAGGTTGGGAGTAGGTGGGAGACTTGGAATAGGTGGTGACCCGAATTTATGTTCAAAATATGCTTTTTGCTTCAAATGATGGTTCCCGTGTGGCCAGCCATTTCTTCTTCTCTTTTCAGCTTTCTTTGGATTTTCTATTTCATGTTTCTGATCACATTTGTATATGGTATGATTTCTACTCATTTATATTAGGTCACTTTCTGTTACTCTAACAAAACGTAGGAGAGTATATATTTTATAAAGGAAAAGATATATTTAGCTTAGGGTTTTGAAGGCTTAAAGTTCAAAATGGGGCAGCCCTATCTGGTGAGGGTCTAATTGTCTGTATTGCAGCATGATGGAGAAATGAAAAGGGTACCAGTGATATTCCTAAAGATTCTAAGAACATAGGAGAAACCCACTTACTAACAGCCTGCTTTTATGAGAAGTCACTTATTCCTTTAGCCTCCTGAGGACAGTGCCCCTGTCACCCAATTACCTTGCAATAGGTCCCATCTCTTAAATGTTTTCCAATAGCAATACTGTCACATGGCACTAAACTTCTAGCGCGTGAACCTTTTAGCAGACATGCTCAAAGCAACTCTAGCACCTATACCAGTGTCAATGCAACAATGTGATTCTGGGAGCCAGAATGGCTGAGTATTGTCTCGTTGGTTATTCACTGCTAAACTCTGAACATTTTTCTTTATCTGTACTCCAGCTGATCACTAACCCTCAATTTCAAAACCCCATTCTACCCACAACCTAAGAAAAAGCAATCATCACTGAACCCCAACTCCAAATTAATTGGAAATACGAATTCAGAATATTCCCTGGGACATATTGGGAAACATCAATACCTAACTCTAGCGAGAGAATCAGAAACATACCAAAGCATGTAGTAAGGAGCCCAGCCCATGACTGCAGAGAGGCTCCTTAGAAAAAAAGGATCAATATAATTTAGGTAGAGAACTCAAATGATATCTTCTATAATTTCTAAATTTTTTGTCAATATTTTAATAGAAAAATCTTAAAACCTACCTAAAACTCCAACATTATATAAATAAATTTAAGTAAATTTGGGTAACTAATCATGTATTGTGCTTGCTACAAATAAAAAGCTAAACAATCTCCATTAATCCATCCCACAGAAAACATGGTCTTACTTGCAACATACAATACACTTAGAGATAAGACAGCAGGGCAAATATTCCCCCTTAGTCCCTTTCAATCCTTAAGCTTTAATCCTTCTGGGTATCTCCTTCTATATACTGAATTATCTGTTTTTCTCTCTCTCTCTCTCTCTCTCTCT